TTTTCAAGAAACAATTAGAATCTAGCATAATGGCGAGATTGTTGATTAAATATGAATTCTCCGCCCTGTTCTCTACTGCTAATGAGTAGTAGAGAATGACGTATATTCTCTACCAGTAGAAAAATAATCGGTAGAGAAGAGTTACAGAATCGAGCTACTAAATTCATATGAAGGGTAATATATGTATGAATGTGGATATATGAATAACGACCGCTTAAAGTCGATCTCGAAATTTTGGTCTGTGCATGGTGAAATAAATATAAGGTGATGTCACTTACATAACCTCCCTTTTTCTGCATGCCAATTGCGGCCATGCATTTTGGGGTAGTAGGAAAAGGGGGAAAAGATTTGGATTATTTTTACTACTTTTTGGGTACTATTTCCAATACATACATATATCAGGGTGTGGGGTCCACCAGTTAAATGAAGCTTGATCAATAAAATATTTTTTCTGTAAACCAGTGTAATTACAGGGTCATTTTTTCGCTCAAAAGAAATTATTATTACTTAATTTTGATTTTTTCGATCAAATATATTGATTTTAATAATTACTATTCAGTTGTATTTTTCTACCTTAAAATTATTATTTGTAAAACTTAAAGGCCACACGGTCGTACCCCAACATATGATGATGGTTAAAACTTAAAAAATAAGGACTATTTTCCGTCTTTCATTTATTCATTTGAAAACAAATTAAATTATACCGTTCTCTTATTTAATTATTCTTAAAATTACAAAAAATGACATTAGCCCTTATGGAATTTTATTTGAATTTTTTCCTTAAGTTCTGAAGTACATGTATATGCGTACTTAGTTTTTAAATATCTTAAGTTTAAAGGGATTTTCATTACGACCTTTATTTTCGTTAACATTTATATCGTATTTCTGGAAAATACCGTTATATGGGAAGTGGGCGTGGTTACTGTCCGATTTCGCCCATTTACCTACCTTGGATTAACAGAAACCTACATACCAAATTTCGTTGATATATCTCAATTTTTACTCGAGTTATCGTGTATACGGACGGACGGACAGACGGACGGACAGACAGACATGGCTTAATCGATTTCTCTGTTCATTCTGAGCATATATGTATACATTTGTCTATATCTATCTCGATTCGTTTTGGCTGTTACAAACAACCGTTATGTGAACAAAATTAATATACCCTTGTGCACAAGTGGGCTCGGGTATAAAAATGGCAACGTCTTGATTATTAGAAGGCAATAAGATGACCATCGAAAAAGAAAATAAACCTAAGAATGGCGGCGTCTTGCGCTTATTTGCAAATAGTACCACTAGTCAATACTTATTTGCGTGATTTAGTTATTTGCAAATAAAAACATAGCTCGGCGTTTATACGGCAAAGTTTATAAACGTAGTAAGTGATACCTACGCATACTTTTTTTCACAAAATTGTCTGCTCCATTTTTTGTTCCATTTTTCCCAGAAATTAAATTGGAATGAATAGAGTAGGCATTACTCTAACGCTGGTATGCCGAAATTGCCAAATTACAACAACCACCCCCCTAAGTCACAACACCTTATTATTATTTCACCATAGGTCTATGTTATGTAGTTTGAGTATTGCCAATTAAATCCAATGCTTTGTATTGCATGCGCTCCATGTTTTTCTTTTTTAATCTCATAAATGGTTTATAATGACTTTTGCCAAAAATTTCACAAACAAAAGTTATCAAAACAAATTCTATGGGACTGAGAAATATTATTTTCTAATTTTTAGTCCACTTATAAAAGCGTTGTATATTAAAAAGTTTTTTTTATGATATTTACTCCGAACTATATTTTATTTATATACCAAAATATTGTTAAAAACAAGAACTCTGGCGTTTTAAAGTATTTTCTGTTACTTATATTCATAGACTTGCTTTGAATAAAAGTGTACAGAAAATTACTGATTTTTTAGCATTAAAAAGTCTAACGTACTGAGTTCATGCATAAAAAATCTGGCAACCCTAATCTAACGTGAAGTATGTACAATTTTCTTTTGTTTTTTTTAAAGCAAGAAGAATAAATAAAATCACGTTATATGTCCAAAAAATTAGTTTAAATATGCTACATTTGCTAAGTTTTAGGATATTTTCTGATATTTTTTTTTTAGATACTTATTTAAAAAAAAAACTTATTTTTATTTATTTTTGGTTGTGAAGCTAAGAAGAGCGATATGGATAGTTAATCGCATTAATATAAGTTCAACTGAATCTCTTTTTCGATTAGAGTTATCATTATTACAAACAAACTTTTAAATTTTTAGTAAAGAAATGTATTTGAAAATTCGAAAAAATCGAGTTAAATCGAATTTACTCCTTCAAATTTCGAATCGAATAATCGAATGGTTGGGCAATATTCGAAATTCGGAAAAAATTGAATTCCAACCCCCCACTACCCATCCCTAGGAGCGATGCGAGCTAAATGACATACAAGTGCTTTCTGTCAAAATAGCTTTTCATGACGAGTGGTGAATGGGAGAGCTTTTTTCTAAGACTTTTGTGCTAGATTAACAAAAGTCTTTCCAACTATCTTGCCTTCTGTCTTTCATTTGTCTTACGAATGACTATTTACTTTCTAAGCCAGAATTGACCTGTAAATCGACTTTTACCGGAGCGGAGTCCGAACACTGGCAGGGAACGTATTTTTCAATTTTAACGCTAATGACCCACGGATGTCACAGTGTTGTATCAGACCTTTGACGTGGTTTTGAGTTGGTTTTGATGAAAAAACTAAATAGAACAAGCAGGCAGAGGAGAGGAGAGATATAAAAATTTTCAAAAAGCGCAGTAAATCTCTCTCGGAGTGGGGTCCGAACACTGCAGTGAATTTATTTTTCCAATTTTAACCCTAATGACCCACAGATGGCGAGAAAATCACAGATTTTCGACGTGGGCTAAGAAGGTTGCAAATTCGCAGGGGGCACTTTATAGGGGTCTTCCCTTAAACTCGTAAAAGCCTCGTAAACCTCGTAAATTTACGAGCCTCGTAAAAGAACTGTCAAAATTTGTATGGCGCTCTATTTACGTGCCCCTCGTAAATTTACGAGGCAAATTTGATGCGGAAACGACCTCTTAAGCTTCAGTGTTGCCGAGGGGCCGAAATTTTTATACTAAAATATATGATCAAATAATGAAAATAAATGAAAAAAATAATACGCGAATGAAATGAATGAATTTCATTCACTAACTGTATTGACCTAGGTTTTCTGCTTATTTTCGGTATTTTTGATTGTATTTTAGCCAAGAGTGATAAAGATGGCGGGATGTTATGGAAAACAAACAAACAACGAAACAAAAATTTCTTCACAAAATCCTGGTTTATCTGTCAAACAGTCACTTTACGCACCTATTTAAATCTTTTCGCAAAGGGCGTTCCCATAAAAGCCTCGTAAACTTACGAGTTTTACACAGTTTAAGACTTTACGAGTTTAAGGGAATCCCATAAATGATTTTTTTCGTCATTCCGTTATTCGAAAAAATCTTTTTGATAATGCATAGGTTTTGATAATGACCAGGTTAGTTAGTAACCAAAAAATATGTATTTAATAAAAAAACTTCAACAACAAAATGTGGCTTTCCGACCGTACTGAATGTGCGTTTATTGCTTTTAAATTTTTGATTTAGGTAAATAAATACTTAACAAATAACCACCCTTCATTTCACAAAGGTAATTTTTGGAATTTTTTTTATATTTTGCAAAACTTTTCAAAAGGGTTCGCATTATTGATTTTAGGAAAAACAGGCCCATTTAAAAAATTTTACGATAAAAAGAATATTAGTTTTTTTTTAAGTTAACTCACTTTATCGAACGCATTCATGCAATTTTTGATTTTTGAAACGTTTTTGCGTCCGATAACAGTAGGTATTCAAAATTTTCTTCGAAAATGTGGTCCATAACTTCTATAGATATTTTCGAAAATGTTGATCTGTATGGGACCCGTTTAAATTTTATCTGAAATTGTCGTGCAACGGTTGCCATCCCATGTAGTAGTTTATTTTTTTTTAAGTTAAAGATAGCTAATGTGTGTATCGTATAAATGTATAAATATATATATTTGAACTGACTTAAACGCTACTAAAGATATATTTACATAATTTTATTTTTATAATATTATTTCTTAATATGTAAATATACGTATTAGCGTGGGCTGAAAATCCGCTTTTTTGGAATTTTGATTGGTAATCGCAAAAATTTTTTTCATTATGCTGAAAAACAATCTGTGTGAAAGATGACCATTTTTGGTCAATATCTTAGGCTTGCCCAAGTCCATCAAAGTTCAATGTTTTCAAAAAATAAGAATGAATAAATACATTAATTAATATTTTTTTTTTCTAAAATTGAAGATATCTTCGAAAGTATTATTTCTACATAATTTGGTATATGGACCTTTTTTGTAGAGAATCGAAGTAAGCTACGAAAATTGTTGTTGCACTTGAAGTTTGATGGACTTGGGCGAGCCTAAGATATTGACTAAAAATTGTCGTCTTTCACACAGGTTGTTTTAAGAGCACAATGAACCATATTTTTGTTATTACCAATCAAGATTCTAAAAAAGCCGATTTTCGGTCCACGCTAATATGTATGTATATTACACCGTGGCAAAAAAAAACATATGACTCAAATTTTAGCATTTGGTATAGTAATGATCCTCCATGAATCTCTCCTCTCTAGGACGATTCTAAGAGCTCCCGCGTCGATCCTTTAGTTTTCCCATAGAAATTACACGTAAGAAAATGAGTTCTTTCCTCTTGAGGTCAATATAATTTTCTGGGATCAGTGAAAATGCTCGAAACTGTAAGAATACATTGATCACATTCCATTTAAGTATTGTGCATGCTCAGATTCCTTAAATTCAAAAAAATTTGTTTGGTATATACTAGATTTGAACCAAATATAAGGGATAATTCAGGAATTTAAATAATCTGGGCCTGCATAACACTTAAATGGCATGTAATCGATGTATTCTTACAGTTTCGAGTCATTTCATTCATCCCAGAAAATTATATTGACCTCAAAAGGAAATAACTCATTTTCTTACGTGTAATTCCTATGGGCAAACTAAAGAATCGACCTGGGGCCTCTTAGAATGGTCCTAAAGAGCGGAGATTCATAGAGGATCATTACTATACCAAATTCAAAAATTTGAGTCTTATGCCGGTCGCATTGCAGGATTTTTTTTTGACGCGGTCTAATGTATATTTTAGGCATCGTTTTTACTTTGAATCGGTACCGGGTGCTGCCTCCGCTTTTGTGTTAGATTATAAAATCCACCAACGATGAGTGCAAATGAAATTATACAAGCAAATAGTGTTCCATATTTCAGTGCATATTGTATTGCGTTCAAACCAAATGTACTTATATAAAGATTTTCAATTATTTCATCGGTGAAGTCACCTGACGTTATTTCAATCCATATCAGCGGTAAGATAGTTGACACCTTTATTCGATCAATTTTATCTGAAAATATTATGGTTTGGTTAATTAAATGTGACATGAACAAGCGAGAAAATATTCATTTCATAATTTCAAAGCTTATGAGAACTCAAATAGACTTCATGCCGAGCTCTTAATACGCATTTACTGTTTTCGATATTTGTTTTTTTTTTGTAATTCCTTGTTACTCGGATTACCTTCAGGCATTAATTTTATTATTATTATTACAACGCTTTTATCAACTTGCAATGTTGTATGTCCAGATTAATGTGACCAACTTTTTCATATCTCAAAGAAGTACAGGTTAGGTTGGGCTAAGTTAACGCCGCGAGCCTGTTACGAAAGTTCGAATGCGGCAAATTTCGATCCATAAGAGCTCAGTGTTTGTTTAGAAGTACGAGCCAAAATGCTTCCATCTTAGCCTTACGAAGGTTGAGCAGTCTAAAAGAAAGTGTGGAGATGATCCACCCCATCGTCTTCTTGACAGCTGATACGAAAGGATCAGTTGAAATTCCTATTCTCACAATGTCCTCTCAGAACCCCAATCACTAGCCCTTGAGAGATAAGCTGTTTTAAAGTGCCCTATAAAAAAAATTTCTGCAGCAACGAACCGTCTTCCCTTCCTTTTTTATGTTACAAAATGACCCGGGCTCCTTGAAACAATATAGGCATAAATCTGGTTTCCTAGAGCTAATGAACTAATTTGGGCGGGAGACCACACCTTTTACCGATAGCTCCCCTACAGCGGTACAAGGCAACCGACACCTTTCCTACCCTTTCCTCAATGTTAGGCTACTACGACAGCCGTCGTTGATTGCCCTCCTTGTTACCTGCCTCAGGTAACCTTGAGCCAGATCAAAAAGGGTGTATAGAAATCGTCCCTTAACCAAAGTTCTACATCATCTACATAGGCGATCACCCGACAGCCCACTTTTTCCAGTTCCTCTAGAAGGTCGTTTACAACCGCAATCCAGAGCAGGGGAGGGAGAACACTACCTTGTAGAGTGGTCCTGTTGGCTCTGCACTGAGTGCAGTGCACTGAGTGCAGATGCTCCCCCACTACGCCGCGACAGTTCTGTCATGAAATGAGCTTATTAGGTTGGTTTCAACCCCTAGATTATGAATATACTTGACTATTGCCTCTGCAGTGACATTGTTAAAGACTCCTTCGATATCGAAGCCCCTACTGCATAATCTTCATGCGTGAAGGCTTCCTCTGAGCACTTTAGCAATGTGCGCAGTGCGGTATTTACCGACCTCTTCTTGCAATAAGCATATTGAGCTCTTGAAAGAGAGTCACCAGGAATCGCATTTCTTATGTACAGGTCTTTCAGTCTCTCTAGCCTTTTTAGCAAAAAACGAAGAGTGTGATAGGCCTAAAATCCCTAGGGGAAACATGAGAGCCTTTTTCGGCCTTCGGGATTAACGCAAAAATGACTACCCTCCAAACCTTGCGGATGTACCCGGTCCTCACGCAGTTCGCATAGAGCCTTTGCAGGTTCGCAGGTCATCGGTCCGCGGCGACTTTAATGGTTTTAACGAATTTATCGCCGAGGCGATATGTGACGATCGTCCAAAAGATCGGAGAAGTACAGTACCTGGGAGGAGATTCTGTAACCATTTAGCGACAATTTTCCAATCGTTATCGTAATTTTTCACGCAACACTATTTATATTCTAGCGATCCGAAAATTGTCGCTAACTGGTTACAGAATCTCCCTCCTGAAGTACAAAATATCGCAAAGAAGTACATTTGACTGTACTTCGAAGTACGAAGTACAAAAGCATAAAAAGAAGTACTGTACTTCCGAAAGAAGTACGGTTGGTCACATTAGTCCAGACCACCATACTATAAATATAGCAAAGGTATTTATGGCAAACCTAGTCTAGATATCAACCTAGTCGTAGGTATCATATCAAAGCCATACAGTTAGAAAAACTCTAGAGATAGATGTCGCCTCGCCAGAAGAAGTTAAAAATATGCACTACATACGCTACAGCGGAAATGGTCGACACGCCATTTCTTTAAATGAAATTAATTGCTGCTATATGTATGTATGTACGTATGTATGTTTATACTAAATGTGAGCAAACAACATTTTGCTTGCATAGTCTTCTGTTCTCTTTTCACTGCTAGTTGAATTATTTTAGTATCTATTGCAAAATTTTATACAGACAAGACTAAAAAGTATAAAATAAATAAAAAAAAACTTTTTAATGTACCACGCTTTTATAAATGGACTAAAATTAGAAAATAATATTTCTCAGTCCCATAGAACTTGTTTTGATAACTTTTGATTTTGAAATTTTAGCAAAAGTCATTATAAACAATTTATGAGATCGAAAATGAAAAGCGTGGGGCGCATGTAATAGGCCTGAAATTGAAGAGTAATATATGTAAACATATATGTGGGTATATTAATAACGACCGCTTAAAATCGATCTCAAATTTGTACTTTCGCTGTAGAAATTTTAGGTCTATGTTATGTATGTAGTTTGAATATTGTCAATTAAATCTAATGCTTTGTTTTGCATGCGCTCTACGTTTTCCGTTTTCAATCTCATAAATTGTTTATAATGACTTTTTCTAAAATTTCAAAATCAAAAGTTATCAAAACAAATTCTATGGGACTGAGATATATTATTTTATTATTATAACGCTTTTATCAACTTGCAATGTTGTATGTCCAGACCCCCATTTATACTAGCTGCATTTTTTTGTAAGCGAGCGACAAAAGAACGCTCAACTCGGGTAAAATAACCTTTTAGCTACTTAAGCAACCCTGTTGGTAGCAGGCAAGAAAATGTGATTAGTTTAACGGGATTTAGATACAAAAACCAATTTAAATGAGTAATTCTGCGAGGTATTTGCGTAATATATATACTCTTTTAAAATATAAGTCACGTATAAAAGGAAGCAAAAATTTGCCTCTCCACTTTCCCAATAACAATTCACAATAGAGCAGTTTTTTCGCTTACCAACACTAGCCTTCAGGTCGCGTATTTTTTAACTGACCTGGCTGAGCTCGGATAAATAGGCGAGTTTGTGTTGTTGCTTTGCATGTATTTCGTCATTTAAGCGAGTGTTCTTTTGTAGCTCGGTTGCAAAAGAATGTACCTACTATAAATGTAGCAAAGCTATTTATGGAAAATTATAGATATCAACCTAGTCTAGATATCAACCTCGTTGTAGGCATCATATCAAGGAGATACAATTAGAAGACTCTAGATGTCGCCCCGCCAGAAGAAGTTAAATATTGCACCTAAATATATGCACTATTTATATACGTCACAGCGGAAATTGACGACATGCCATTTCTTTAAATGAAATAAACTGCTGCTATATGTATGTATGTACATATGTATGTTTATACTAAATTTGAGCAAACAACATTGTGCTTGCATAATCTTCTGTTCTCTTTCACTGAATTATTTTAATATCTATTGCAAAATTTTGTACAGACAAGATTAAAAAGTAAAAAATAAATAAAATAAAAAAAAAACTTTTTAATATACAACGCTTTTATAAATGGACTAAAAAGTAGAAAATAATATTTCTCAGTGTTGAAAATACTTATGTATTTAAATATGTATTTGTATTTGTATATGTGCATATAAAATGCACTCATAAGCTTATTATACTTTATTTACCAGCTTCGCATAATTGTAATACTTATAAGCATAATCTTGATACATTAAACAGTCAGTCCACTCATAAACCTCAAACCGTCGTGTTCTTTATTCTCTCTCTACATGGTAGCAGAGCAAGGTTACTGCTGTAGTGTCGGGTGTCGGAATTAAATAAATAAAATAAAAATCAAAAGTGCAAAATCTGCTGTAATAATAAAAATAAAATAACGCTTCAAGTAAAACTTTGAATTAATATACATATACATATATATAAAATTTATAAGTGAAATTATAAGTTAAAATGGAAAAGGGTTTTGAAGTAGAGAAACTCAAAGGCCAGGAAAATTTCCACAACTGGTGTTTCGCAATAAAAAATATATTAGCATTCAAAGGTCTGCATAAGTGTATAACCGATCCTGTCACAGAAACAAACGCTGAGAAATTAACTAATTGCAAAGCCCTGTTAGCTCTAAGCGTAGCGCCATCGCTGTACGTTCACATATCCAGATGTGAAACAGCGCTAGAAATATGGCAGAAACTAAAAAATCTGTATGAGGACAAAGGCTTAACAAGAAAAATTGGGTTATTAAGAGGCCTGATCTCTTGCAGATTAGAAGACTGCGAGAACATGCAATCATACATTGATAGAATTAAAGATAATTCTAATAAATTAAATGAAATTGGTTTTGAGATAAATGAGGATTGGCTGACGGCGATAGTATTGGCTGGTTTAACTGATGCATATAAACCATTTATAATGGGAATTGAAGCATCAGACTCACAAATAAAATCAGAAACAATAATCGCTAAACTGTTGGACTCTGATACCAACACAACCACAAAAAGTGATGCATTTCTTAGTAAAAAAAGGTACGAAAATAAGCAAAAATACTTACAAAAGAAAAAATGCACAACTTGTGGAAAGAAACATGCAGGGGAATGTCACTACAAGAAAAATAATGCACAAAATGGCACAGCAAAAAATGCATTCACAGCGTTATTAACGAAAAGAAATAACGACGACTGGTATCTAGACAGTGGTGCATCGTCTCATATGACACCAAACGATAATTTGCTCACTAGCAAAAAAAATTCACTCGTTGACAAAATAATGTCAGCAAATGGAACAGCTATGACAGTAAGTTGCGTTGGCAAAACATCACTGAATATCAACGGGCAAGAAATTGTAGTTAACGAAATTCTACACGTGCCCGATTTATCAGTAAACCTTCTGTCAGCTGCAAAAATAGTGAGTCAGGGGAATGTAATAAAATTCGATGCAACAGGCTGTACAATACTTAACAAAAACAAAGAAGTAATTGTACAGTGCAAAGCGGAAAATGGTGTTTACAAACTGAAGGGAATCCAAGCAAAATGCTTGTTATCAAAACAAAC